CCAGTTTGTTACAGAGCCGCCCTTTTTAGTAGGGCAAGGGTCGTGTCAGGTTTGCAATCAGTGTCTGCATCAACTCAAGGTGTCGTCTTACACTTTGGCACAAATGGGGCGGTGAGCATAGGCCTCAGCGAGCAGACCATGTGTTTTTGTTTCAGGTGTGTGGCCCCACAACGATACCACTCAGAATCAAGGGTGGCCAAGTGGCATTGGCCACACACATGCGACGGTCATCCGCGTAGTTGACATGAGAAGGGTGGAGGTATTTGCACCAGAGTGCCAGTAGCAATGTAATTCGGGAAGGAGTGCCGGGCAAGCTAGTATGTGTTCCGCGCGAACAGCCAATAAGTTGGTGTATTTGTAACCTTCAGGCAGCATGGCAATTTGTTCCAGGAGTGGCAATCCAGCCAAAACCCAGGCTGAACACCTGGAAGAAGTGCGACACGTTTGCCAAAGCCAGCACCCCTGCGTGCAGCCAAGCTCAACCCGAAAGCCGCCCAAGATGTACCTATTTTAGTGCCTCCGGCTCAGGCCGCCGACATTACAGGCCTGCTTTCTTATTTGCGTCCCTTTGGAATTCTCCTTTCCCCCTTCCCCTCTGAGATTTTTGCCCCCCTTTCTTTGTTGAGATCCATTCCCCCTTTCCGCCCGAAGGCCTTTTCTCCCTCTGTTTTTTTCCCTTTTCCTCCCTAAGATGTTTTCACCCCTCTCCCTGTTGAGATCCTTTCCCCCCTTTCCCCCCTAAGGCCTTTTCCCCCCTGAGATCTTCTCCCTTTGCCTCCCTAAGATCTCCCAGATCGTCTCCCTTTCAGGGAGAAGATCTGGGAGAAAAGGACTTAGGGGGGAAAGCCCAACAGGGAAAGGGGGGAAAAGATTTAGGAAGGAAAAGGGAGAAGCTCTCAGGGGGGGGAAAGGCCTTAGGGGGGAAAGGGGGAAAAGGATCTCAGCGGGGGGGGGGGGGAAGATCTTAGGGAGGAAAGGGAGAAGATCTGGGGACAAAGGCCTTAGGGGGGAAAGGGGAGAAATGATCTCAACAGGGAAAGGGGTGGAAAAGATCTTAGGGCGGAAAGGGAGAAGATCTGGGAGAAAAAAGGCCAACAGGGAAAGGGGGGAAAGACCTAAGGAAGGAAAAGGGAGAAGCTCTCAGGGGGGGGAAAGGCCTGAGGGGGGAAAGGGTGGGAAGGATCTCAACAGGGAAAGGGGGGAAACAATCTTAGGAAGGAAAGGGAGAAGATCTGGAAAGGCCTTAAAGGGAAGGGGGGAAAGGATCTCAACAGGGAAAGGGGGCAAAGGATCTTAAGGAGGAATAGGAAGAAGATCTCAGCGGGGGGAAAGGCCGTAGGGGGGAAAGAGGGGAAAGGATCTCAACAGGGAAAGGGAGGGAAAGATCTCCGTGAAAAAGGGAGAAGGTCCCAGGCAGGGAAAAGGCCTTAGGGGGGAAAGGGGGAAAGGATCTCAACAGGGACAGGGGGCAAAGGATCTTAGGGAGGAAAAGGGAGAAGATCTGAAAAGGCCTTAGGGGGAAAAGGGGGAAAGGAGCTCAACAGGGAAAGGTGGGAGAAGATCCTAGGGAGGAAAAGGGAGAAGATCTCGGGGGAAAAGATCTTGGGGAGGACAAGGGAGAAGATCTCAGGGGGGGGAAGGCCTTAGGGGGGAAAGGGGGGAAAGGATCTCAACAGGGAAAGGGGGCAAAGGATCTTAGGGAGGAAAAGGGCGAAGATCTTGGAGGGGAAAACGCCTTAGGGGGGAAAGGGCGGGAAAGGATCTCAACAAGGAAAGGGGGGAAAAGATCTTAGGAAGGAAAAGCGGGAAGATTGCAGGGGGAAAAAAGGCCTTAGGGGGGAAAGGAGGGAAAGGATCTCAACAGGGAGAGGGGGGAAAACATCGTGGGGAGGAAAAGGGAAAAACTCAGAGGGAGAAAGGGCCTTAGGGGGGAAAGGGGGGATGGATCTCAACAGGGAAAAATGGCAAAAGATCTTAGGGAGGAAAAGGGAGAAGATCTCAGGGGGGGAAAGGCCTTAGGGGGGAAAGGGGGGAAAGGATCTGAGCAGGGAAAGGGGGGGAAAGATCTTAGGGAGGAAAGGGAGAAGATCTGGGGGCAAAGGCCTTAGGGGGGAAAGGGGAGAAATGATCTCAACAGGGAAAGGGGTGGAAAAGATCTTAGGGAGGAAAGGGAGAAGATCTGGGGGAAAAAAGGCCAACAGGGACAGGGGGGAAAGATCTAAGGAAGGAGAAGCTCTCAGGGGGGGAAAGGCCTCAGGGGGAAAGGGTGGGAAGGATCTCAACAGGGAAAGGGGGGAAACAATCTTAGGAAGGAACGGGGGGGGGAAGATCTTAGGGAGGAAAGGGAGAAGATCTGGGAGAAAAGGACTTAGAGGGGGAAGCCCAACAGGGAAAGGGGGGAAAAGATCTTAGGAAGGAACAGGGAGAAGCTCTCATGGGGGGGGGGAAAGGCCTTGGGAGGGAAAGGGGGGAAAGGATCTCAACAGGGAAAGGGTGGGAAAGATCTTAGGGAGGAAAGAAGGGGACTAAGATCTTCCCCCCCTTTCCTCCCTAAGATCTTTCCCACCCTTTCCCTGTTGAGATCCTTTCCCCCCTTTCCCTCCCAAGGCCTTTCCCCCCCTGAGAGCTTCTCGCTTTTCCTTCCTAAGATCTTTTCCCCCCTTTCCCTGTTGGCCTTTTTTCCCCAGATCTTCTCCCTTTCCTCCCGAAGATCTTTTCCACCCCTTGCCCTGTTGAGATCATTTCTCCCCTTTCCCCCCTAAGGCCTTTTTGCCCCAGATCTTCTGCCTTTCCTCCCTAAGATCTGGAAATGAAGGGGGGAAAGGGGGAAAGGATCTCAACAGCGAAAGGGGGGGAAAGATCTCAGGGAGGAAAGGGAGAAGATCTGGGGAAAAAATGCCTTAAGGGGGAAAGGGGGGAAAAGATCTTTGGGAGGAAAAGGGAAATCTTTCTCGGGGGGAACAGGCCCTAAGGGGCAATCGGGGGACAGGATCTCAATCGGGAAAGAGAGAAAAAGACTTTGGGAAGAGAAGGGTGGAGATCTTGGGGGGAAAAGGCCTTAGGGGGGAAACGGGGGCAAGGATCTTAAGCGGGAAAGGGGGGAAGAGATCTTAGGGAGGCAAAGGGAGACGAACTCAGGGAAAAGGACTTAGGGAGGACTTTGGGAGGAAAAGGGAGAAGAACTGAGGGTGGGAAAAGGCCTTAGAAGGAAAAGGGGGGAAATAAATGATTTCAACAAGGAACTGGGGGGGGGTCACCAGCATAGGCAACATCCACAGCATCACCTGCATCATCCGCATCCTTGGCAGGCGCTGATGCGGATGATGCAGGTGATGCTGGCGATGTGCCGCTGGAGCTGCTGAGGATGCGAAAGCGCACCCGGGGGGAATCGAACACCCCAATGTTTTTGACAAACTGAGTTGCGCAAGCCAGCACAATGAACAGATTTAGTGAAGCGTCTTCGAATCACCGCGTGGTACGTGGACCCCCCCCCCCCAGCAATATGCCCCTGGGGAGGTGTTAGGGGAACAGGTAAAGAGGTAAGGAGCATTTCTTATGCCAACACGCCGCCTGTTGTCGGCGGATATCGACGGGTGACCAAGCCCACGAGCCAGACTTTGACAAAGCTTTGGGCATTCCTGGCCTCATGTCACAGTGGTCCCCTGGCAGTCTGCTTCGTGTGCCAGTGTGTTCTTCCTCATGATGTGATGTTCATTGATTTTCAGAAAGCAGTGCCAGCCAAGGCGCACTGCAATATGCTTCTTGTATGGTGAAATGTTGAATCGCGTTTGCGCTGTAAGAGCTGCAGCACTTACCCAGCAAGTGCCGCATAAGGTGTCCAGGATCTCTGCTCTATACGGAAATTAACACACACTCTTGAAACTCAAAAGGGTCACTGAGTTGTCCTGACCAGCCTGCAATCCAGAAGGGAGAAAGGATCAAAATACAATGAGTTGGCAGGTGACCGTCCGCTCTTCCGGGCTCTACTAGTTAACCTGAACATTCTGTTTGGGGCAAAGGCGCGCTTTGCCAGGCTTTGCCTTGCGACTGATGTTTGGACTATGTCAGTATGTAGCCTAAGGAAAAATGCAACACAAACACAAACACAAACACAAACACAAACACAAACACAAACGCAAACACAAACACAAACACAAACACAAGCACAAGCACAAGCACAAACACAAGCACAAGCACAAGCACAAGCACAAGCACAAGCACAAGCACAAACACAAACACAAACACAAACGCAAACGCAAACGCAAACACAAACACAAACACAAACATTACACCAGCCTCGACCCCAAACAGCAAAAAAACATGACAGGTCTGTATAACCAAAAAAGGCTTGTCTCCTTCATGTAAGGTGCGAAATTCAGTAGCTTATGTCAGCAACACATAGTTACAATCAGTCTATGTATGTCCTTGTAGGAAGTCCCCGTTTTTTGGGAAGAGGACACATCGGGTCCATCCAACTGCTTGACGCCGGGTAAAAGCATCGATGTTGTTCATCGACTTCGAGGAGGAAAATGCAATGTCAATGCCATGTTCGAGAGTGAAGGCCCCAGGGATTCGGGGTGAATCAACCTAACACCTGGCATGAATCAGAGGAAGCTTCGAAGGAACTTCCGCAGTGCGGACACTCAATGCACTTTTCCATCACCGCAGCATTTGGTGGCCGTCTCGCTACTCTGCTGAAACATGCGCATCAGTCTCAGCAGCTTGCGGCCGAGACTGGGCACATGCCACTTCTGGTTGCCATTTTCTTCTCGAGCT